AATTACAATATATTCAATACTGTTTACTTCGTATAGATATATGTTGCTATGATTTTCAATCATGACGAAACGCGATTCGAAAAGATTGCTGAATTTGCATTTAAAATTTCACTTGGGAGGATCATCATAATACCAGAATATCGACGTTTCTCCGTCCGTTGCGTTAAACTCAGCAGCTAGTCATATATTCGTAATGGAACGACTGAATAATTCCGTCCATGTAATGAATCCGCGCATCTTTTTCTCTTTTTTTTTTCGCGACGTTCTGGCAATCTTTTACTTTATTCTTTCAAACAGAAAGAAGCTCTTTTCAGGTCGTTCTTCGTTGAAACACATGAGTATACATGTATACGCAGTGCAGTCTCGAAATGGTAAAGGAGTCGGAATCTTTATTACAAATCTGAGTGCACCTGTGCGAATGTATCTGCTACTCGACGATCACAATAAGGGACGTCGTTTTATTTCGACGATGTTTCAATTTAGCAGCCGCTGCAAAAGGGTTTCGAGCTTTTATCGCGTAACTTTTATCCGGAGGGGGTGGAAAATAAAAGGAGACGAGTCGAGGGGCGTGAAACATCAGGCCGAAATATCAGGCAAAATATAAAAACAAGAGACGTCGCAACCAGATACGAATATTATGTACGATATTAGTATCTGGAATTCAAATATAAGTAGTAACGTGTGTGATATAAATAGTAGTGTGTGTATAGTAAGCAATTTTTCTGAATACTTTTCCATATCTGTCTGCACTAGCTACGATTTTTTAGTAAAAAAATTATTTTAAAAGAATAATACATACAGTTCCTACAATGCTCCAATTTTAACCCTCCGTCTACAATCTATGTTTTTTTTGCATAAGCGAAATTTTACTCTCAAATTTTTTTTAATTTTTACATGAATTTTAATTTTTTATCAAATAAAGACTTTAACATTTGAGTTAACTGATAATAGATGCTGAAAAGTAATCTGAGATTTTTCCACTTTTTGAAATCCTAGAGATTTTTCCATTTTTTAAAATCCTAGAATCGTGAAAAAAATGTGCTGGACAAAAAAGATCCAAACACGGAGGAAGTAAAAATATGATTACAGAGCAAAAAATGCAGTTAAGTTACGTAACTCTTAGTTAACATACATATATATACATATTATTTTCAGTAAAACGAGATTATTATATCTGTCATCGCGTCATCTAATTGATCTCTTATTATATTAATAGAACGTAACTAGTTTGCCATATATCATTTCGTATTCAACGAAAGTGGAATTTTATTGAGGACTTTTTATCGAGTATCGGTCGTTTTTTCCACTTTTTTTTCGAGAACTTTACATATGGGTCAAATTCTGTTTAGCATCGACCTTAACTTCGTTCTGCTATTTCTGTCGAACTCAATACGCGATTAAGTGGATTCCTTTTTACGTTAGATGTAAATTGGATCCGAGATTTGGATTCGCATTTGTTACCTCGAAGATACCAGGTGTTTCCAATACGTAGATGTGCGGTTTATCGTTGCGACAAAAGACTCACCGTGATTGTTACGTTCCATGTTGCGTTTGCCATTGTCCGTTTTCGCTTTCAAATTCAGCACGATTACTGCGAGTTGATAGCTGACGAACATTTCATATTGTGCAATTGTTCAGTTTTAAAAACTTATCGTATTTTTGTAGAATGCCATATAATGAAATAGTTATTTTATTTCTAGTGTATACAAAATAATTAAAAACATGGAAATAAAATAATTTTTTTTATTTCTTTTTTAAATATTACAAATACTTCTATTATTATATATATTAGTTATATATAATGGTTATTTAAAAAATTTTTAATTTCATTAAATGAGATTGTAATTTCATTTCACTAAAATGCATTTACTGTTTAAAAACATGCAAATTTATTCTCCATTATCGTAAAGCAACAATAATAATAATAATTGTACTAGATATAATAACTTTTATTCAACCAATTACTTGCAATAATATTTACATAAATTAATATATCTGCGGTAGAAATTTGAAACTTATAATAAATAAAAGTTCAACTTATTGTTAGACACGGTAGGAACTCGTAACATTTACATAGATGTCGTTATATATGAATGATTAAAGAGACTAAACACGCGAACATACGTGTTAACGCAAAATAAGTCGTAATAGATTATAATAGGTCGCATGTAAGTCACGACGTGAGAAATTATTATCCGTCATCGAGATTCTATTTTCTGTACGGAGAAATGCTAAGTGGTCTGCAAAAACATCTGGTCGCATGCAGTGAAACTATATTTTTCTCTTACCTGCATCATAAAGCTGTCAAGAAGTCAATGAATACCGATGAAATATGTGCTAAATTACTTTTGTTTTCACACTGTTCTGTAAAATTAAACCTTTTTTGATTTTGTGTATATTTGGAACAAATATTTATTAAATATTATAAAATATATACAAAATATAAAATAGCTTATAATTATAATCAATAAATCGATTGTACATTTTTTACATATTTATATAATTTATATGTTTTATCATTTACATAAAAACAAAAATAATGGTTCAAAATGTTAGCAATCCTATATAAAATTTACCGGGATATTTCTAAAAAATAAGAAATATTTTTTATATATAATATTTACAAAAATTTTAAAGCTTTAGACACTCTCTCTTAAAAATAATCTTTAAAGATAATCTTATCACTGAAAGAACAATTATCTTAAATGATGTTAAATTTTTAGTACCATAATGCAAAAAAGAATTAAAAGAATAATTAAAAGTGAAAAATTTATTAAAAGAAATTATTTTAATTATATTATTTTTTCATAAAACTTTTATATCTTTCTTAGTGTTACTTACTCGAACATTTTCACAAAATGTACTCTAAAAGATCACACGATACTTGCTAATAAAAATTCATATATATATCAAAATTACTTTAAATTCAAAATAATGAACGAGCATACTTTCTAAGATTTAGGAAATAAATTCATTACAATTGTATAGTCACGATTAATATTTTATTGAATGCGTAGTTAGAATGTTTAGTATTTACATTGATTCCACGTATTCAGATAAATAACGTTGATGAGCGCGAGTCCGCGGCCGCATCGCCACGTATCGTGCGTGCCGCGCATAAAACTCGATGTATAATTAAAGACCGTGAGCGCTCATCGCATTTCCCATCGCAGGCGTATCGAGCTTTCACGAAACACCGGTAGCCGCGGAAACGCGAGAATTCTTTCGAAGTGCACTATTTAGTCATCTCCTTCTTTACCTCCATTATTTTACACTCCAAAATCTGACGCTAAATATTCGAAGGAAAAAGTCTAAAAGATATAAAAGCATCCAGAAGACATACAAGTGTCTTTCAAAAGTATCTTGTCTTCTGGACTTTCACTTCATTTACGTTATCCTCACTTTTAATGAGGTCAGAAACATATCTTTGTTTGATGAGAAAAGTCTCCACCGTCGATAGAATAATGTATAAGTCCCGATTTCGTTAAAAATAATTAAAGGAGTGTAAGCACAATTGTTCGCATCGCTCGTATAACGCGCACCATCCGAGGCTGGATTATTCATCAATCTTGAAGACAAGTATGAAAGTGGGTATACACCAGACGAGTAACACAAAAAGATGTGGCAAACGAGTAGAGAGCAAACCCTCTCATGTTCGCCATCTCCTCGTTTCTTCTCTGTAATCACATCGGACATTCATTCGGTTGAATGAATGTTTGCATTTATCATTTATTTAAAGATAGATGTATACTGGGCGAACAAACAGTGAGAATGCTTCAGTGTATACCCACCCGGAGAATCGCGAGGTGCAGAGAAAGAACCTCTTCGCAATAGCGATGGCACTGCGAGAGGTCGACGGGAATTGAGGTAAGGCTTCTACAGCGCGGAAAGAACGTCGCTTCGTCCACCTCAGGCTCATGTAATCAAGTTGTCGCGAGAAATCTGCTTGTCTTATCTTGTCGCGATTTCGAAGAAACATACACCAGCTCGAAAGAAGATTTACTTAAACTCTCTGCTACCGGCAAAAGACAACAAGATTATTCTAGAGCGGGATTTACAGCCGGGATTTCGCACGTTTGAAATATATTTTTTATTATTGTACTGTATTCCAACCGTCGCGCAATATTTTTTTATTCGAGTCTATGTTTATTTATTTATTAAAACATATTTCAGATAGTTTTGTTTTTTGTCGAATTTGATTTATGAAATAAAAATGGTTTTATGATAGCAGATTTAATCGATTTATATTGTATCAATGTAGATTAACTTTAATCTTGGTTTAAGTTATCTTTTTCTAATTTTTTCTTAGAACTAGAAAAAGATAAAAAAATAAGGTAAGCCAAAATTAAAATTCATCTATATCGATAGAAACGGACATTAATCGAAGAATACGATTCATTATTATTACGGCTTTGCTGTTCACGACAAACAGAATTTTCGCAGCAAACCTCTACGTTATGCAATAACGTATTGTATATATGATGAAAGCTCGATCAAACGTTATCATAAAAGGGATTGAACAAAAACATGTGTAATCAACGAATGTGGCAAACGATAAACGGTACAAATCACTTTAGGATTTGAAAATATGACTGATACCACGATTAATTGAAAGAACGATAAATCGAGCTTTCGCCATGTACATTTGTTTGTACGTAACGAATATATACGTGTATATATGTATATATGTAGAATGCACGTACGAAGAAAACGACTCACCAATCACGCACACCGAAAGATATCAACGAGCCGCATATCGAGCGGAATGGTTCCCATCGGGAAACAAATTTCCTGCGAGAAACCGAGTTTCCTGTCCAAACAAATCAGGGACTCCTTTTCCGCTTACGCGACTTTTTCACCAATGCGTATCTTATGACGTACCTTAGTACCATAGTTCCGTAATCCTCTGGTCTCATTGCGATCCACATGGTTACATCCGAAGTAATTGCTAATTTTATTATAAGAAAATAATATTGCACAGATTATTAAACAATAATCAAAATAATACATATTTCTGAAATAGAAACATGTATATATTTACGATAAATTCATCATGAAATTTATCGTAGCATTATTACTCTGTCCACATGGTTAGATGTAATTTATTATTTCCGGATATATTAATGAAAATTATTGATTTTTTACAGTTTACTCAGAACTTTTTTGAAGTATCATTGTTTTGTACGATTTATCATCACAACAAAATCTCTAAGTGCAGCAAGAGAAATTGCGGTCGTATTTACACGTTGAAATCTTGTTCCTCATTTTTATCGTGGACAGAAGAAGTTGGATTGTAACTTCGCGCGCAACGAGACACGTAGAATTACGCGAAAATTTAAGAGTAAAACGTATCTCCTACAGTAAAATCGCTAGCTCAATTCAAAAACGAAGTACAGTCGTCCCGGCAAACACATTTACGCGGCACTCGCGCGAGAACGGGCCCAAATGGAAGATAAGGTGCGAAGAGCTTTACAAGGGTGCACCATACCGAGACAAACGGACTCGCCAGTGACTTTCTGTCCTTGAGCTACAAGACACCATCGGGCACCGAACACACGCGGCTGTCAACCCCGAATAGCGTCTATCTATAGTATACGTAAAAGAGACACACGTAAGGTAAACCAAGTTCGTGGTATCACGCGCACAATCATTCTCGGCACACACCGGAGTTTCTTCCTAGGTTAGAAGTGAGCGGGACTCGTGCCGACACCAGGCAGTAGAACAACGACTTCGAGAACTCGTTTCCTCACCGGGCCTGCCGTCAGGTCGCGGAGGACACGCGGGCCGAAGAATGCCGCCGGGACGGCGGTAATTCACGTCGGGTAAAGGCTCGTGAAACTCGGTATCCTCCAGCTGACGGCCGCCAGGAGGGACACGAGAAAGTTGCTCGCCAAAATTGCCGGGCTGAGGTTCCTTCTGTCGCCCCCGTGCATTGCCGCTGGCTTCTCCTCCTCTGCAACGAGATTAGAAAGCTACGTTTCATACGCGGTAGAAAGGGGTGGCGGGGATACAAACCTGAGTGGGCTGCTTAATTTTAGATTATCACTCGTGGACGTAAAGGGTTTGTTGAATTTGTACCCAGTAAAACGCTTGAAATAAAACTACGACACGTTTGCGTTTGTTGGCAAAATCGATTATGATCCCAACGAAAGTTTTCGCATCTTCCTTAGGGATTTTTAATTAAGGAATATGCTGGAAAGTTGCGGGCTATAGAATCTCATTATCAACTTTGTTTTTATTTTTGATGTATCTTATGTATTATTTGCTGTACACGACTCAACATGTTATACTTTATAAGCACACATCCCTCGAGGAATATGAATATTTTTAATGCAAATCGTTACTTTTTCAAGAATGGTAATTTGACTTTAATTAAAAATTACAAGATATAACAAATTCCCTTTATATATGTAAATTCTGAAAATAATAACTGGATAAATAAGAGCGGAATAAATCAGATTAATAGTGAACAAAAATTAAAATATTCATTATTTTTATTCTATAATACCTTTCTGATATTGATAATAGAAGATATATTAATGATAATATACATGTGTAAACTGGAGCAGAAATTCTAGAAAAAAATGAAAAAGTATTCTCATACGAAGCAGTAAAACCCTTCCTCGAGAATACAAAAACAGTGTTTTAAACGATCTCAGGGGTCATCCGACATTTCCAGTTGAGATATAAGATGAAACGCGGATCATTTCACATTTCTTATTGTAGCAAATACCGCTCGACAATCTGGTCACGTAAGTACGTGACACTTCCAAGTCATGTGCTACAGCATCAGCGGCGACATGGCAAACAGTGGATGAATATCTGTCGAACTTCTCGAGTTTTCTAAGGCAGTTCTCTCTTTTCATCATCTTAAATTCCCTCAAAGTAAACCACTTTTTTTAGTACTAAAATTTAATTCTAATAGACTTCAATAAGCAGGGTTTTTTATAATTTTTTTTATTAAGCTTTACAAAAAAGGAATTATTTTATATTTTATTTTTATATTATTTTTTATAATTCATCTTTTTTGCAATTCTTCATACTCATACATATATCGTAGTTTCCAATAAATTTTTTTATGTCATACAGAACTTTTCAGTCTTTAGCAGCTGTATTTTCTTTTAACCTATTAATATTGTTTCTAATTTTTTATAAGAATAAGTGCGTTTGATTAAAGAAAGCC